GATCAAGGGCAGTGGTCCAGGGCAAGGCTGGGGGGGGGGTTGCTGCTTGTGGGAGAGGGTGTGGGCCTCCTGATTCTCTCCTGTAACCTCTGGAGCCGCTAGGTCTAGGGAAGAACAGTGAGGTGGAGGTGTCCTGGGAACAAGCTCCCAGCTGGCCGACAGCGCCAGGCCCCCCGCCTGGGGCCTCTCTGTAAACATCCCTCATCTAGAAAGGGGTAAGCTGGGGAGAGAGCTGGGGTTGTCCCTCCTGCTTGCCGTTTGGTATTGTTTTAAATAAAATAATTACCCTGCCCCACCCCCTCCCCATCTCTGGAAGTCCCCACCCCAAGCCCAAAAGAAACAGTTTAAGAAGAGTAAAAACAGTGATTCAGAACTTCCCGCTGCGGTCTCGGAAGAAGCCCTCGGCCGCCTGGGCCTCACGGAAGGTGACGGTGATGGAGTTGGCGGTGATGTCAGTCACTGTCACTTCACTTGGGGGGAGCGTGGGTGTCCAGGAAGGGGGCCCATCGGCCAGGTCTACGTCTGCTACAACCGTGGGAGAAAGAGAGACAAACAGGAGACAGCATGAGCAAAGAGTGGGGAGGGGGAAGCCGGTGGCTGCATGCAGACCCCCCCACACACACACCCCCACCAGGTCCTCCTTCCTCAGTCTCTAGCCAGACAGGGCCCAGTCCACAGCAGGGCACACGGGAGGAGGGTCAGGGCCCAGACCATGCTGGGCACAGGAGCAGAGTCAATGTTTAAGTCCCTGGCTGGACACGAGTACATTCAGAAGCCAGAGGCCAGAAGAGCTCTGGGCGAGGTGACTAGGCCCTGGGTTCCAGTCCTGACTGTCTCCACAGCTAGGCAGCCTTTGGAGTGCAAGGCTCCCTCTGGGCATTGGGCCAGGTGAGTGTGACGACCCCCTGAGCCTGGGCCACCAGGCAGGCCACCTTACCCTCCTCTTCAGGGGGCTGCTCAGTGGGCTCCCACTCGCCGGCCGCCTGCAGGACGTCCGGGGCCGGTGACTCCTGCAGGAAGAGCTCCCGTCGATGGCTGTGGCTCTCCAGGCTGGGCCCGCGGGGCGGGAACTTCTTGCGTGAGAGCCGCAGGTACTTGTGGGCCTTTCGCGGCTTGCGGAGCGGGAAGGGCAGGGTGGGCACCAAGGGGCCCTTGTCCACCAGCTCGGGCGCCCCCGCCTTGACCACCCCCTCGGGGCTCCCGCTGCCGAGTGGGCGCGTCAGGGAGAAGCAGAGCTTCTCCCTGCCCTTGGCCTTGTGGGAGCTGCGCAGGTCCATGCTGTACAGCCGCTGCGGGGGCAAGCCAGGGCACGGCCGTCAGCCCCGCCCTCCCGCCCGCCGCACTGCCGCGCATGCTGTTCCCCCCTCGGAGTGCCCTTCCCGAAGGGCCGGCCACGGCCTCCCACGCTCAGGGGCCCACGGCTGCCTCCCCGCCGCCCCCCACCCCCAGGCCCCCTGCTCCTCTTGGCCCAGTGCCATCCCATGGCCCAGGGGGCAGTAAGCGCCTCAGGGAGGGTCTGCGGGGCATATTCCCAAGGTACACAGCAGAGGAGCACACGAGGGGTACCAACCGGCCTCTGACCAATGAAAAGCCAACGGCGAGTTACAAACTAAGGAACCTTCATCCCAGGAAGGGAGCCTTGCCCACAGGACCCCCAAGGGTGACCCCGAAGCTCACCAGGGAGGGGCGGGAGGCCAAGGGCAAGGCACACACTCGGGGTTCTGGGGGACGAGCTTCCTACGAGCGCACAGGCAGCCCGGAGCACAACGCGTCCCCAGAGACTGCGGGCAGCCTGCAGGGCTCTTCTGGGCCGAGACCGCCACAGGCCTGACGGCAGGGAGCCCTCGTCTGGCTCAAAGGGAGCTGCGTGCACATTCTCCCACCGCGCAAAGGGTTGGGATTTGTAACCGGCATTTGTGTTATCGTCTTTGGGAAAATGTTAAGTGGAGCCAAGAAAGATCCTCGGTGCCAAGATGTCGGAAGACCCTGGAGGCCTCTGCAACACCACCTTTGACTGCCACCTGTCACCAGAGGCCAAGCGCCCTCGGGGAGGCCATCAGATGGGCCCTCTGAGGTGGAACATCCCCAAACAGGGGCCGCCACCACAGGTGCAGGCTCTCTGCTGATGCCTACCAGTCACCACGGGGCGGGGGTTGAGGGGCTGAAGGAGGGCTGAGCTGGGAAGGGCTGGGGAGATGCCACAATGACCCCGTACTCCATGGAAACCCATTCCTGCAGCCTGGCTCGTGGACCTTCCCAGGCCCAGTAAGCTCTCCCAAGGTGCTGTGAGGCAGATCCATCTCTGCCCTTCTCTGCCTCGTCAGGAGAGAACTACAGCTACTGAAGGGGACCTAGGAGGGGCAAGAGTCAGGTCTGGGCTTCAGTCCTGCTGTGTGTCCCTGGGCCTGGTTCCTCCTGGGTGGGCTGAAGAAACCGTAGTAGGCAGCCTCCCACATGCCCCCAGCGACACCCACCACCTGGACCCACACGCTCGTGTAGCCCCAGACACTGAATACTGGGGCAAGGATGACTCCCAAGATTAGGTTGTAGCACACACTGCAGCGTCTTCCTTGCTCTCCCTCGTTCATCACTCAATCTAGGGGAAGCTGGTGGCCTTGCTATGGGGACACTCAGCAGCCGTACAGAGGAGCCCCGTGGCCACCCATCCCCATCTGGCATGAGTGAGCCGCTGTGGATGCCGGTCCTCCAGCCCTGGTCAGACCTTCAGATGCCAGCATCTGTGATGACACTTGGCTGCAGCCTGAACCAGGCCCACTAAAGAACCAACGGGAGCAGCCCCCATTCCTGGCCCCGAGAAGTGGGTCGGAGTCTAAATGCCCAGCACTTTCAGTTGCTAAGTTAGGGGGAATCTGTGACTCAGCAAGAGATGACTGACCACCTGCCCTGAAGGTCAGAGTGTGGATGAAATGTGTTCATCTGGGTAAAGTGCCAAACACAGAGCCTGGCACCCAGATGTCTGACTTTCCCTCTAGGACCACTGCATCAAGGGCGGCCCATCAAGTCTGGCCAAAGCCACGGAGAAGCCCTACTCAGGAATGGACGGGAAGCCTGACAAGAGCTCAGGCCGCGTGTGCCAAAACCAAGCCGATGGCCACGAAGTCGATTCCAACTCCCAGCAACTCCACGTGTGTCACAGCAGAACTGTGCTTCACGGGACTTTCTTGACTAAAATCCTTACAGAGACAGATTGCCAAGTGTTTCTTCCATGGTACTGCTGGGGGGTTTGAACCACCAGCCTTTAGGTCAGAGGTCAAGCACAGAGTGTCTGTACCACTCAGAGACTCTGTGTGGACCAAGAATTCTGATTTTCTGGTTTCAAATACTTGGGCAGGCCTTACTACGTCAAGGAGAGTGGATGTGAATACCCTGCTTTACATGTGAGGAAAGCCCGAACAAGGGCTGGTCTCACCGAGGACCACAGAGCTCCACTGCTCCAGCCCCACTCGCTTTTCACTGCAACAAGTCAGCCAAGTGCCGCGAGTCCTAGGTCCCTGGGATGTCAGAGATGAGATCCCCACCTGACAGCAGACTTGAAAAGGAGGCCTCTGAAGCTTTTCCCACTGAACAACGGCATGCTTCCAGGAGTCTATTTCCAAGAATTCCAGAATTCTAAGTCTCTGTGTCTCGTATCCTAAAGCTTCGGTCTCCTGGATTCTAAAGTTTATATCTCTAAGATCCTCAAATATTACAATTTTTGTGTTCTGGGACTTCGAGCATCAAAGAGCCTTATTTACAAGGTTCTGACTTTCAGCGTTCCAGGATTCTATTAGCTGGGTGTCCCAACCTCCCACCATGGCGTGTCCCAACCCGGCTGTGTTCCCACCTCCTTCCATCAACGCTTACCCCGTCCCCACACAGTGCCCTGATATCCATCATGTCAACTAGCAGTGGGAAGCACGGGGTGGGGGGGGTGGCTGATGGGAAGGGCAAAGGGAGGCCTGTGAGTCAGCAGGGGGAAGAGGCCAAAGGTGGGCGGGGTTACCTGCAGCAGAAGCCGCTTGGGTTTCGGCCCTCTCTTCCTATACCCCGACGCTCGGTCTCTCTCCTCCCTAGGGTGCGAAGCAGATGGCAGGAGAAAAGGAAACACTGGTGACATTTACGGGAAAGTAAGGTGTCTGCTTCACCCCGCCCTCTGCAGCCTGTGGGGGAGCAGTACACCCTCTACAGGCCACCCCCCCATGCTGGAGTATGGGCCCCTCCCCAGTGTTCCCCCGAGGCCATAGCAATAGGGTCAGGTGTTCACCTCCAGGACCTTGGTCCCCCATCTGACAAATGAGAGGTCACAGCCACTGGCCCCAATACTAAAGTGGGACTCGGGGAGGCATCCCCCCAAATGCCTCGGTCTGTACTAGGCTCCAGGGTCTTGCAAGGGCCCGCTTCTGCATGCCACCAGGGAACCACCCCCCAAAATGGAATGGGGTCCTGGTGTTTCCACTCTCATCTTAGGAGACCTGTACAGGGACCTGTCAATCAAATTTGCCTCTGAACGTCTTGGGGGAGTTGATGCCAAAGGCGGGTGCTTCTGTAAGTGGCGCTGTCAGCTTCCCCCATCCTGGCTGTCTAGTCAGGGAGGGGGGAGAAAAACCAGCCTGTATGGAGTGCCCAGCAGGGGCCAGACTACACACGACACACACCGGACCACACAACCACAGGCTCCCAACAACGGCACCAAAGCCAGGAGGCCTTTCAGGCTGACCCCCACTTGGGTTGGTTCCATTCTCACTCTCCGAGCCCACGCTCAGAAAGGATGTGGAGAGGCCCTTGTCCCTTACTGGTGGTGACCCCAGGCTAGGCCGCCAATCGGAGCTCAGCGTAAACCCAACCCCGGCCCCGTCTGTTTCCGATGTCTGATCGTCGCCTGGGCAGCAGCCGCCCCTCTCATGGAGAGCAGTCTCCCGGGGAGCTCCCAGGTGTGCAGTGGGGTCCTGGAACCAGCATTCTAAAGAGGCACCCAGGGCGAGCGGAGGCAGGTGACGGGGCTCTGCTTGGCGGCCCTCCTGGAGGCTCATCACACAGGCCTCCCGAGCCCTCGAGGGTGGACACTTACATCAGAAGCCAGCCCTGGGCACCAGGACCCCATTCCAAGCCCAGTTCTACCCTGACCCTAGTGGGCCACGTCCCATCCCTGAGCCTCAGTTTCTGTGTCTGAGGCAAGGGGATCCCCTGGTCAGTTGTGTGCTGGGGCTCCTGGGAAGAGGGAAAGTACCTGGTATTCATCAAAACTGGAAAGGCTCAAATAATAAAGGGAGGAAGTAAGAGAAAGGGAAGAAAAAGAGGAGAGAAGGACGGAGGAGGAGGAGAAGGAAGAGGGGCTTGGGAGGAGAGGACAATATGACAGCGATGATGACTAAGTGCTAAGATTATCCTCACGCGCTGGACACCACATGCAAGGCACTGCTCTATGCCGGCCCCTCACAGCGCCCCCAGCAGGAGGTCTGGTTATTATCCCCAGTTTCCAATTGTGAAAACTGAGAGGTTGCCCAGTGCTGACGTTCTGACAACTTCCGCCACTGAAAGGCCTTCCTCTTCAAGGTCAGGCCCCAGGTCTCTGGGAGTAGGGACAGATCTGGGGCCTCAGTCAGGGCCCAGCAGGGCAGTTCTGGTGCACAGGCCACCAGACACTGGCTTCCCCTGCATCAGCACCCTTGTCCCTGCCCTGCAGGCTGTGTGTGTGTGTGTGTGCGGGTGTGCATGTGTGTATATGTGAATACATGCAAGTGTGCATGTATGTGGGAGGCAGTGAGGCATGGGGGTCCATAATTCCCTGGGCCTGGTTTCCATCAGCCCTGGATTCTGTCCTTCAGTGTCCAGGGCTAAAGGCTAAAGGATGGGGGCCCCCTTAGGGTCTTGGTCCCAACAACCCCTGGGCATACAGGGACTCTCTGTTGGAGCCCCCCTGATAGACCCCTTCTGAGCCTCACAAACACGAGGCAGAGCACCTATGCAGATGGGCACCACCCCAACTGAGCCCCTTTCTACCAAGGCTGAGCCAGGAGGAATGGGCCCCAGGGCACACAGCGGGCCTGTCCAAGTCTCCAAGCTCCTAACTCGTTCCTTCCTGAGCGACTTTTCTGACTCACTTGATATAAAATCCACATCCTCCACCAGGACTTACAAGGTCCTCTCTGAGCGGTGCCCCTTCCTGACCTGCACACCGACCCCCCTGCTATCTCGTCTCCTGCTCCTTTCCGGCCTCACACAGGCCTCACCCCAGGGCCTCTGTACTCTCCAGGCTCTCTGCCTGCAATAACCACCCCCTCACTTAATCCAGGGCCCCTGCCACCTCTTAATCACCCCATCGAAAACAGCCCCCCGCCCTGTCCTCGCCCCTGCCCCCCAGGCTGCACTTGTCACTACCTGACGTCCCCCACCTCTGTTTACGTTTCCCCCATGCCTCACATGGGAAGATGTGCCCGAGAGAGGACTGGGGCTGGGTGTGGGGTTCGTTCCCACTGGGTCTCTAGCACCTGGGACAGTGACTGACGCTGGGCTGTCACTGTTAATTGCTGTCTCCTTATGTGTGTGTAACCTTACATGCCACAGAAGGAGACCCCGTCCAGGCCTACACCATCCTCCCTCACACTGCCATCTGTGTCTGAGCCCCTGCAGCAGCCAGTCAATCCATCTCAGGGGGGGCTCCCCTCGTCTTCACTCACAATCTACTCTGCCAAACACAATTCCTTTTTCTGACTCCCGCTAAGTTTTCATTGACAAAGGAATGAACTAGCAGACCCCAGATTACCATCAGCAAGACGACACACACGTGTGCCTACAAGGAGTGGTTTACCAGGTGCCTTCACACACCTGTGCTCCCCATAAGAGCCCCACGAGGGCAGCACTGTCATCCCTGTGTCACAGATGGGGAGACTGAGGCTCAGAGAGGGAAAAGGCCTTGTCTGACACTCACAGCTGATGAGCGGCAGTGCCAGGATGCTAATCCAAGCTACGACACCGCATTCCAAGACACACTGCAGGATCCTCCCAAGTGTCAACACCCAAGCACCTGGCACCAGAAAGAAGCTTGTGGGGCAGGGACACCCTGATTTTCAAAGGACAGAACAGTGAACACTTTTCCTTTGAATCAGCACCAGGCAGCCATGTGGGGGAAGCAAGGAGAACACAGTGGGGTGGGCAGCAGAGACCACTGGCCCCAGAGGCCCAACCTGTTGCACACTCCCTGTACTAGTTCCCAGCTATGAGGCTCCTGAGTGGGTTTCCCTGATGCCTCTGCCAAATAAGACCTCTGTCCCTCAAGGCTGTAGTCACTGCTTGGTCACAGCCAGCTACCCAGAGGGAGCGAGTAGTTGAATCTGTGGGCTTGGGACCATAGTCACAGGGGAACATCAAGCTCAACTGGCATAACATACTACACAAAACATTGTTCCACCTCCTACTTTGGCAAGTACCGACTGGGATCTTAAAAGCTTGCAAGCGGCCATCTAGACACAACAATGGGTCTCTTCTCATCCAGAGCAAAGAAGAATGAAGAAAACCAAAGATTCATGAAACAATTAGTCCTCGTGACTGGTACACCATGTGATCCACAGCCTATATGACTATTAGAGTAGAAGAACTAGATGGTGCCCGGCTACCACTGTCAACCACTCAGAGGGGGATCTACGGAGGAGATCCTGGATAGAGAGGGAGAACAAGGTGGAACAAAACTCAAAATCATTTGCACACAAAAAAGGGGAGGGGACCAGGTTTGCTGGTCTTGTAGAGCCTGGTGGAAGCCCTGAGACTATGGCCCCTAGCTGCCCTTCAGGTCTGGAATTGAACCCACACCTGTGGCTTCCAGCCAAACAAAAGACAGGCATATGAGTTGAACATTTACATTAGGTAGATATACTCCTTGGAGAGAACAAACATGGTTTCAGAAAGAAGGGCTGTTTACGCACAGGGAGACAGCTCAGGGGGCAGGAGTGCACAGAGGGATGGACACAGGGAAGAGGTAACCATCTGGAGGAAGTGAGAGGGGAGCTGTTGCATTGGCGTAAATTGTAGTCAGTGTCATGAAACAAAGTATATGTGAACTGCTGTATGGCAAGTGAATTTGCTCTGTAAATTTTCACCCAAATCACAATTTAAAAAAAAAAAAAAAAAACCTCTGTCCCTGTCTCAGGAGGTCACCATCGGGGCCAAAGGCAATGTTGTGCAACAGTCTTTTACCATACAGTGTCAGGGGAGGTGTACAGGCATGAGGCCGCCTGCTGGCGAGTAGGTCAGGACCGCCCAGAGTCAGGGCCACCGTGGGCAGAAAGGGCCCGACTTCAGAGGGCCCCAAGGAGACTCAACAGTGGTGTCAGAGCTCCCGAAAAGGTGTGCCCTCCCCATGGCGGTGAAGCCACCATCACACGTCAGCCAGCAGTGTCTCTGCAGAGCACTGGCTGGCAGGAGACCCAAGGCCTAGGAAGTGGCCAAGTGGGACGGACCTGAACTCTGGGATTCTGGCACCCAAGCCCACAGTCCCCACCTGGCACATCCTGTGTTTCACCTCGAGGATACTCGTCTCTGCGCAGTCCCTGCTGGTGGCAGAGGTGACACTGCTACCTCTCACCTACAGGGTGCTTCTCTGACATAGTTTGACTTGCCTCACCTCAAGTGAAACCCCCAACCTATCGGGAAGTCAGGGCAGATGTTATGGGGATCCCATTCCATAGCAGAGAGGCAAGGTCTGGGAGGTGAAGAACGTGGCAGACATCACCAGCAACAGGACAGGGACCCTGGCCCTCAGCTGTACTGGGACCTGCAGCCCTCCTTCCACCAGCAGCCAGCTAGGCCACGCTGCCTGGTGGGACACCCTCCCTCCCTCCCCATGATCCCTTGCTCAGAGCCAAGCCAACAGCAGGCTCCCTACAAAAGCTCAGAGCTTGCCTGCAGCCCAGACCCAGTGGCCAGATGGCCCCTTACTTCTCCTCGTAGGCCAGGACCAGGCGGGGGTCCAGGATGTGTTCCTCTGGCTCCCATGTGCTGTACCTGGGGAGAGAAACCAAAGGTCGGTACAGCCCTGCTCCCACCTGGTCTCCACAAAGCTGTTGTTCTCCCAGGACCACTGTCTGGACACCCGTGCCCCTTCCTGGCCCATTGTAACCGTCACACTGAGCAGCTGTCCTGGCTACCCAGGCTAGGTCAGGGCCCCCCACCCCGAGGGCTCCAGGGTCACCAGAACTTCCTTCATTCTCAGCATGGGTCACATCTCACTGCAGTCATTACTGTGTCAATGACAGGAACCCATGTTCACCTCAGACCCTCAGGGAGCCCAGAACAGGGCCTGTAAGCCCCAGGATGTCTGCCCATGACAGGCAAGAGAGGGTGGCAGAGAACAGGGCCCTGGAGAAGGCTGCCCAGGGCCAGACCCCAGCAATGCCCCCTGCTAGCTGTGCAGCCTTGAAGACCTTACTCGCGGCTCTGTGCCTTGACTGTCCCACCTGTAAAGGATTCGAGTGCTGACTGATTGGGTTAAATGTCTCAGGGTCTAGAACAGGGCCTGGCGCACAGTGAGTGCTTTGTGAGTTGCTGCCCCTCCCCGCCCGTCCAGCCCCAGACCTGCTACTCGGCCACACTGACAGTTCCCTTGTCTCTGGGCCTGGTGTCCAGCAAGTGTTTGGTCTGGTGGCCCAGTGTTCAGTCATCCAACAACAGCCCCCCTGGAATTCCCACAGGGACCTGCTACCACCCCCAGACCAGAGAGCACTCGCAGCTGGCGCAGGCCTGGGCGAAGACAACGCAGCAGCCCCAGGGCCCAGCCGTCTGCGGCACATGCCACATCCTTGTCCACGTGTGGTTATCGTTTACCTGGTACCTGTCTTTAGGGCAGCTCGCTTTTTTTGTTTAAAGGATTACATTTTAAAACACAAACTTTACACGACCTCTGTAAGTGGAAAAACAAGTCACTCATCAAAAATAGATGCTCATGTGTGACAAATGTAAAGTTAGGAATGTAAACGTTTTAGCAATATTCTACACTTCTGTTCAGAGGCTGGGTGCCAGAAGTTCTGAGAAGAGAAGAGAGCTGAGTAGGTATTAAGGAAGAGTTAGGAGGCCAAAGGAAGGGCACGGTCCCCAGTCCCTAATCAGCTGAGCCAACACTTTCATCTTCAACTACCTGGGATGCCTCATGTCCAATGTAGACTCAGACCACAAGCTGCCCAGGGCAGCATCCTTCCTCCTTCTCGTCAGTGCTCACTGACACTTCCACACACCTGCTTTGTGCCAGGCTCCAGTGGGGCCCTGTGGACTCAGTCCTGAGGACCATACAGCCCAGCCTGAGCGGATGAGGCCACACCCCCTCCCTCTGTATCCCCTGTGCCCCCTAGGAGTGTCCTGGCCCTACACTGCACTCCTTGTCATCCTCAAGAACCTGGCCATTGTCACTTTCCCAGAGGCCCCTTCCAAGCTGTCCCACCCCCAACAGAAGAAATGTGTCCTCTGCGGCCCTCCCACAGCCTCTACGGTTGGCACTTGGCGGCTGCCATGATAAGGGTGCACAACCTGGGCCCGCCCTGGGTACTCTGGGAACACTGCTGAAGCCACTTGTAGAGTTTCACTCACCCCTGCAGAAACGCTGAGAGTGAAACGGAACTGGGCGAGGCCCAAACCATAGGCAACCAGAGGCTGGCAGAGGCTCCTGGGCTCCCTCCCCCACAACAAAGGTGGAATTTCCTCAACTGTAACTAATAACGAGAAAGGGGGAATTTTGTGCTCCACCTCTGTCATCTGCCTCACCCCATCTCTCTCGCCCTCAGAGGGCTCTCCAGTCCAGTCAGCTTGGCCCTGACCACATCCCCATTGCCTTCCTCTTTTTTTTTTTTTTTTGCTGATGTAGCTGCTGTGTGACTTCTGGCAAGTCCCTACCCTTCTCTGGCCCTCAATTTCCTTCTTTTAAGAATAACAACCTGCACCACCACTGTAACAGCAAGGTGCCGGAGCCCCACTGCAGGCCAGGAACTCCTCCGTTCTGCCTCACACCTTCACGAGGTACGTTCTGTTATCCCCATTCTACAGATGAAGATACTGAGGCAGAGAGGGGAAGCACCGTACCAAGGACACTGGGCCAGTAAGTGGTCAGCCTGTGCCTGGAACTCAGCTGACTCTCAGCCCCCTTGACCCTGGGTTCCTCACATGTCGGTTTCCCACCGGGCTGTGCCCTCCGGGGGAGGGGCACTGACTGATCCTCCTAACTCGTTGGCACAGGGGTGAACAGAAAGTGTCTGCCGAGGAAGGCGGGTGGGGTTGTTTCTGGCCCGGAACCACCGGAGGCCTAGCCCTGCTCAACGCTGGGGATAGGGGTGCACAAGTGTCTTAACCTCCCGGAGCCCCGACACTATCACCGCAGAGCACATTAAGCGTCCCTCAGGAGCATGGGGAGCCTCGAGGCCGCAGAGAAGGAAACAAGCTTTGCGACCAGCCGAGCGGGGGCACAGCCCGCGGGGTCCTCGGGCTGGGAGACGATGAGGGGTACCTGCCCATCCCAGACCTCCCTAGGCCGGGCAAGGGCTAAGAGGGCTCGGGCGCGGGAAGTGAGCGCCGCGCAGGGAGGGCCGAGGGTACCCCAACTCTCCCCGCCTTCCCCGCCTCCCGCAGCCAGGCTGCGCGCGCGCGCACACTCGGAGCGGTGCGCGTTAGAGAAGCGGACAAGCCAATGGGGGGTCGGGGGCGGGGACAGCGCGGCCCCGAGATAAACACGGCCACGTGACCGCCCCGCCCGCTGGGAGCCCGTAAACAAGCTGGGGCCGCGCAGGATCCCCGCTGCCAGGCGCCCGACGCGGTGGGGGAGAGCCCGCGGGGGGCGTAAGCTCCCTCCTCGCCATCCTTTTCTCGGCAGGGGGCGCTGTAGAGTCGTGGCGCAGGCGCCCTGTGCCGAGCGGACCCACCCCAGGGGCCCCGCAGAGGCGGTCAGGCCGATGCCCCCAACACTCGGATTTAAAGCTGCCAAGAGCGGGACAGCAGACCGTTAACAGGGGCTCATGATAGCAGTGCGAGTCCAGACGGCCTGGTTGCGGCCTTGCCCAAGTGGCTCTCTCCACCTCTCGGGCCTAGTAATAGTCCCTAGCCTCCTAGGGTTGTTTGAAAATTAGCGATGCTAAGCCATGTACGGGAGCTCTGGTAGCATAGTGGCTAAGACACTTGCCTGCTAACCAGACGGCTGGTGGTTCAAACCCACCAGCCACTCCTCGGAAGGAAGGTTGGGCAATCCTACTTCCGTAGTGATACTGCCTCGGAAACCCAAGGAGGGGTCGCTATGAGTCGGGGCCGACTCGACGGCACATAACAACAACAACAACAAGCCATGTACAGCGCTTTAAACCAGTGTGTTGCTGTTAGGTGCCGTCGACTCGTTTCCGACTCAGAGTTCAGTGTAGAACATCATTAAAAAACAAGCGTTAATTAAGTCAACTTTAAAAGCCTAGAGAGCACTAGTTTAGCCCCAGTGGTACAGCAAGGTAGAGGCGAGGCCAGGGCCCGAACCTGGCCTCTGTGCTGCCTCTGCCCCAGCTCAGCCTTGGAGGCAGAGGAAACTGCCCCTGGGTTCCCGGCTGTACAGCATCTTACCTTTCTTTGTCTCAGACAGTCTTGAGCAAGGCCTTTGGAGGCTAAGGCCTGCCTCATTTCCAGATGGGGGAATGGAAGCTCAGGGAGGTCGAGAGCTTTGCCCTGGATCACACAGCTGGAAAACCTCCAGAACCAGGATTTGAAGGCAGGCAGATCTGATGCAAAGCCTAAGCATTTTCCACTGAACTGGCCAAAAGGTCAACAGAAAAGGGATGGACTGTTGTGGACCTGGCTGTGAATAATAGGATAGGTTCCCAGGCCAGGCAGTTTAAATCAGGCCAGTTACGTGACCCTGCGGTAAGGCCTCCTATCTGCTGCGGCTTCTGTCTCTCCATCTGTAAAATGGGTCACTCTACACAACTCCCCGTCTTTGGAGAAGGACATCATGCTTGGTAAAGTAGAGGGTCAGCAAAACAGAGGAAGACCCTTAACGAGATGGACACAGTGGCTGCAACGATGGGCTCAAAGAGATCGACGATTGTGAGGCTCGGGCATGATGGGGCAGCATTTCATTCTGTTGTACACAGCATTGCTATGAGTCGGAGCCAACTCCATGGCACCTAACAACAGCACAGATAACGCAAACAGCCAAAGTCTGACTCATAACTGGGGGTTAATGGTTGGCAGGCTGTGATCTTTAGGAAGCAGACTACCACATCTTTCTTCCGTGGAGTGGCTGCTAGAAACCCTACTGGCAGTTCTCCTCTCTCCTATAGGGTCATTGTGATGAGTTGGAATTGACTCCACAGCAATGGGTAATGGTTGGCACCCTGGTTACTGATGCACCCACTGATACTATCATGACTAAGTTCCATGGAGCCAGAGGCGGATTTAAGGTTTGGCAGGTATGGGACCAGCCCTGGACACCGCTTGAGGAGGGGCACCAGTAAGCAGTTTCTATTGGCCACCAGCTTCCACCGTCAGCTGTGAGAGATTTAAAACTAACTGCCACAGGTGCTATTTTCAGTAGACGCACTGCTGCGGGGAGCTGTTGTGGTTGTTATGTGCCTTTGAGTCGGCCCCAACTCATAGCGACCCCTACTTGGGTTTCCGAGAAAGTATCACTAAGGAAATAGATTGCCCAACCTTCCTTCCGAGGAGTGGCTGGGTTTGAACCATCAGCCTTCGGGTTAGCAATCAAATGCTTTAGGCACTATGCTACCAAAGCTCCTTGCGGGGAGCTAATGCCCCCTAAACGCATTAGCATGTGGGGGCAGGGGAGGAAGGAAGAATTACCCAAGGAGGAACAGCAAGGTCCTGAGCGGGCTGAGATGAGGAGGGGCTCTCACTGTGGCACTCAGAACCCTGTAGTTGGCCCCACCCTGTGCCATTTGCTGCGACTTCCAGAACAAGCAAGAGAGTCTACTGCCCCACGCCGCACAGGGGTTGGTAGTCTATTCTGGTAGGGACCTCCCCTCTCTGGGCCTGTTTCCCCATCTGAAGAATAAAGGGACTGACCTCAGTTGTACCTAAAAGCTACGCTGAGTTCCTGTGAAGAAATGAGTTCCCAGATCCCTTTCCTGACCGGGAGAAGAAAAAC